CGCCGCGGCGCATGCGCTCCTCCTACGGCGCGGCGCGGAGCGACGCGCTCCCCTCGCCGCCGTGCTCTGTGCCCCGCCCCCTCTTGTGCTGTCGCCCCGAGCTCGGTTCTCTTCCAGACCCGGGCCTGCCCACACCGCGTCTCCAGTCTCGTGGACAGTGCAGACCCGCGTCCCGCGCTCCCGCGGTGGCGGTGGTGATGGGCGGGGGGGGCGAGCGGGGGGGGCTGGAAGAATGAGGCGGGACGAAGGGAGGGGGCAGCTGCCGCGGACTCACTTCCGGAGCACGGGCGGAAGTGGCTGCGGTGGATGGGGGCGGGGGAGGGAAGGAGCGCGAGGGGAGGGCCCGGCCGCCGGGGGTCGAGGGGGTGGGGCCTGGGCCGCTGGTCGGGACCCGGCTTGGGGCCTGGACTCCGACCTGGGAGGGCCACGGCTTCCAGCTGAGACCAGGCGGGCGGGAGCCAGGTAACGACCCAGCGCAGATGGGGTGAGGGTCGTCCGGGCGGTAGAGGGGTGGGGGGTCAGAGTCTAGGAGGGTCGCAGTGTCTCTCCCTTTCCCCGTGAACACGGAGCGCGGGGCTCGGAGGAGAAGAGTGGGAGGAGTTAAACTGGGGGGGGGGTCATGTGAACGCCACGCCCCTACAGGAAGGAAGGGTGTGTGTGTGTGTGTTTAGGAATAAATTTAGAAGGGAGGGGGCGATGGTGTGTGTGTGTGTGTGTGTGTGTGAATAAACTTAGAAGAGAGGGGGCGACCGGGGTGGGCTTCCCAACTGAGAAACTGGAACAGTCTGCAGCTGTTGCCGGCAAGACTCGGGCCTCTCTTCAGGAGAGCGCGCTCAGTGGCCCTGGGAAGGAGTTTGAGATTAGGAATTCCATCCCTGGCACAGTTTTGGAAGCAGAGGGGGAGGCGAGGGTGAAGGGAAAGGAGCAAAGAATGCATGTGGAAGGTGCCAGCGTCTGGGTCTGGAATGGATTTAGTTCGCTCTGGGAGAGCTGACCCTGCGATTAAAACACTGAACACTCTAAGAAGCTTGGGAGATGGAGGAGATTAGTGTGTGGCAGTAACAAGACAAGAGGGAGGCGGAAGAAGGATGTTCTTTTCTGTGTTTCTTAGAAGACAGTCTGCATTGATGGTAGAGCAGGGTAAAGGAATCTAATTTTTTTTAGGTAAGGGACCTGGTCTTAGGAATCCATTTGGGTATATAATAGATTGGAAAGTGTCGTAATGTTTAAATATTCCACAGGTTAACACTGAAATCAGCCTTCTGGCCATGCCGGTTCTATGGCCTGTTTCTTCTCATGAACCCCAGCAGAAGACGGACCGGCCAGTCCTCACAGTGGATGACTTCCCTTCCCTGAGCAAGAGATGGGATAGAACCTGGGATCTGCCCAACACCAGACTCTGGGCTTAATAAGCCAGCTGAATGAAGGAATGTAACAGACCCCTGGGAGGGACACTGAACCCTGCAGTGGGGGGGGAGGGGCGTGGACATACCCCTTCCCCCCCAGACTCCTCCCCCTCAGAGTCCACTCAGCCATGGACTTTGGACCTGGATAAGAGGAGAGAAGCTGCACTTTGTCTGGTGTATCTGATTTGGGATTCTAAGTTTTGGAAATGGAGTGCTGGAAGGGGGTTTGATGATCTCCAGGGGAGCAGCTGAGAGAAGAAAGGTAAGGTTCCTGCCTCACTTCCCATGGGGTGTCTGGCTAGTGTCGTGCAGAGAATGTTGAGTGGGGCAAACCCGGGGACGCTGCCATTTAGGACGTGCCTGATGAGAACCCTACCCTGATGGGTACCCAGGAAGCTTCACCTCTGTTCCACTCTCTCAGGGTGCAGACGGTTCCCAGCCTGTCTTTACCCAGGCAGAAGGAGTACCTTGTAAGGGGTTGTGTGCAATGCAGTTGTGAAGTTAGGCCTACGAGAACGTGAAAAGGATTCAGGCTTCTGAGGAGAGGTTAGATGAGAGATTGGATTATTTATAAGGGCCAACACTGAGTCCACACATTTTGGGCTAAGTAATACTCTAGGATGGATTACCTAGGCAGAGGCAGGCTGCTGTGTTTTGGGGGAACTAACTAATAGAACTGCCGTGGGGGAGGGTAGAAGATGGTCTAGATAACTTCCTAAATTGTCTCTCTTCCTCCTGCCTCTAAAGGGGGTTTAGGCCATGAAACCTTATGCAGATAGCGGAGGAACAGAATACAGGTTTGAGATCAGTTGAATTTTTGTTCTAGCTCTGACTTTCTTAGTGTGCAACCCTAGATATATGGGTTAAGCTCTGCCATGTTCTGTTCACCTGTAAGATGGGGATAACTAACTTTACAGGTCCCTCACAGGTTGTTACAGGAAGCAAATGAAATGACAGATTTTGAAAAGTATCCAGGGCCGTGTCCATGGAAAACAGTACCATTGACGTTGCTTCATGATGCTTGTATAATTAGTACATCCAAAAAACCTCTGAATTAGGAGTTCTGTTCTTTTATTGAATTAGTGTATTGGCAAAAGCCTTGGATGTCCTCAATTAAAAGCCTGGCCTGAATTTGTCTCATCTTGTTCCTGTTAAACAATACCTGGGACCATCAAATGGTGGAAAAGGTGTATGGGTCCTAGGAGAACTTAGATGGAGGGATTCTGGTCCTCAGGGCTCTCCACACTTGTGATAAGTGTCCCTCTTTGGGGTAGCAGATTAAAGAGGGGTGGAGGAAAGTCCAAGTCTCAAGGGCCAAGTGTGTGGTTAGGAGACGGAGCTCCATTTCTTGGAGTAAATGCTGGGCCTTTTCTTCCTGTGCCATATCCTGGTATTCTCTCCTGCTCTTGAAGATGACAGTTTTTTTTGGACTGCCATCTCTTAGCCTTTGTATTTTTGCAGGCTCTCTTTCCAAAGACCTGTTCATAGTTACCTTCTCACCTCCTTCCTGCTCCTTCCTTGAACTCCAGTTTACCTACGCCAAGATACCTGCTTTTCTCAGTGACAACAAACAGAAAGGAGGTGTGTTGGGAATTTTGATAGTGGGGTACGGTGGCCTGGGGGCACAGGGCAGGAAGCTTGGCTTCTAGCATCTCCTTGCCTCTTACTAGCTGTGTAATACCTGGAGCTCACATTCATTGGGGTTGGCAGCAATAACTAAGGTCATTTGCAAGCTGAAAATCATATATTTACAACTTGTTTCTTTTTTTCCCCCTCCTTCACCAGCCCAGTGGTGAGCTGTTCCTTCTCTGATCTGAGGCTGGCTTGGGGCAGTACCTTTCAGCCCAGGCTTCTACTTCAGAAGGTACAGATTTCAGGGTGGCATGTCACTTCCCCCAGCTTGGCCCAGCAAATTCCTGGTGCCAGTCCTTGCAAGGGGTATCTGGTCCCAGAATGCGTCTGCAGCCCTCATCTTATCTGGAAGGCCTGTGAGTGCACAGAGTTGTGCTATATTTATATGGCACTTATGTTACGTGAAGTGTCCAGACTGCTGGGTCACTTTTCTGTCACCACACTGTTGTAAGGAAGAGAGAGCAGGGATTATTTCCCCAGTTTGATATGTAAGGGGAAGCTACAGAAGCCTTGAGCACAAAGGGCTTGCCTAAGTGTGGACAGGCAGATACTGTGAGGGCCATCTGCATTCTGCTGCAAACCTTCAGGGAGGGGAATTCAGTGCCCCGTCAGACAGCCTCTCTGATAAGACCTTTCCTCCCTAGACTGAACCAGAATTCCTCTCCCCTGTCATTTTCACCGAAAGTACTAGTCCTGTGCTCTGCCTGACCCTGTCACAAGATAGCCTTCTCACAGGGGTTCCAGGATCTCAGACCACTCAGCCAGGACCAGTGATAGACTTAACCAAAAGCTGTGGATGTGTTTTAACTGAATTTATTCATACCATTCTGTCATACAAGAGGAATTGTATGTGGCTATAACCAGAAGTCTCATCTCACAGACATTGCTCACTGGTCCTTGTATTAATCTTTTCTCCTTTCTTTGTTCTTGATGAGCTGTGTTTCTGGGTCTCCAAGGGGTGTGGGGATGTTGGGAGAATGGGAGAGGGAAAAATAGACACAACACTGATTTAAAACTTTGATTTTACTTCTTCCAGCCAAGATCTGTCTTTTAAGTTCAGAGCATGAATTCGTTCCAAATTGTAAAAAAATTCAGGGTATCTTAGGTATGGTTTATGGGAAGGCAATTGAAACAATTTTCACTTCCTTCTCCTTATCTTTCCAGTCCTCTTTTGGAGGTAGTGGGGGTGGGCAGGATACAGTATTTTCGCTTCTAATTCTCTCTTGTCTTGTGATCAGATCTTCCTGTTTCTTCCATTTTCATATATCCCAATTTCAGTTTCATTCCCAGAATTCAGGTACCTAGCTCCTTGTTTCTGTCCTTCTTCCCCCTTCTCCCCTCCATAACACCTCCTCATGAAATCTCCATCAGAAGCCCAGGGCCTCTTTTCCCAGGTCAATGTGGCACCTATCACCCTGGCTTCTTACCTCTCAGACCAAATGTTTTCTCTTGTTTCCATCCAGGAATTCAGCCCAAACCAGTTCTCTAACCAGGCTCTTTCTGCTTGGGACAGTCCTTTTGCAGCCGGGGAATTTCTACTGTTAGATCTTCCTGTGAGCCTTGGAATTTCAACAAAGGATTGTTGAACGTCCAACATCATTGGATGTTGAGTTCTGGTGCACAAACAGTTCCCCATTTTGTCCCCATTGAACTGCCTTCGATAGAGAAGGATTATTATTAGAGGTGGGAATGTGACATCTCATGGGCTGGTTGGTCTGCCCCACTTTTCAGCATCCTACCATGTCCTTTGTCCTGGAGGGTGATTTTAGCTCCTGATATCTTGTATCTACAAACCAGTATTTCCCAGCTTTTTACACTTTTCGGAATTATCATTTTCCTTCTTACTTTGACATGGAGTGTGAGTGTGTAGGTCTCCCGTATCCCCCAACTCCCTTCGTAAGGAAAGCATAAAGAGAGGGCAGAGATGCAGAGACAGTGGCTACTGGCTGGCACATGGGCGTGGGCTTGCATTTCCTGCCATGGTCCATGAAGTCAGCTCAGCTGGAAACCTTGGGGACACACACACACACACACACACACACACACTTCCAGCCTCAGTGAGGTGTCAGCTCTTTTCTCACTCTGCTTCTTCAGGGCTAGGCTCCAGCTGCTTCTGCCAGAACTTCCCTGCTGCCCCACTGTGCACCTGTCATGCTGGACATGCAGCCATCTGAGAGCATTTGCACTCAAGGGTGTGTTAGTGGAAGGAATGAGTGCAGAAATGCCTGGGTCTAAAATCTGGCCATACCCCTCACTAAGTCTTGGGACCTTCAGCCAGTTGGCACTTATTCTGAGATTCACACCTCTGATGTGTAGAATGGGATGATAATGCACACTCTGCAGAGCTGCTGGGAGGGTTCTGCATGCGGAGGCCTCTGTGCACTTGGTTTATTTCCTTAGCCCCAGGCAGGGGGGAGCCTTTAGGGCACGCCCTGCCTTTTTGTGTCTCTAGAACCCTTCATAATTCCTGGTTTCCTGTAGAAACAAGTTAGTGAGCGGAATCAGTCAGTAACCACACACTGCTAAGTTCCTGCCTGCTGTGTCGAACACAGGAGGGAAGTGGGTTGCGGGAGGGCCTCGTGCCTGTAGAACGAGTCCTCATCACTTTGGTAGGGCTGGCCCTAGACTGGGTGTGCCTGAGTAGCCAGTAGTTCTCAGTTCCCCACCCTCACTTCCCAGGATCAGACACAGACAAGGCTTTTCCTGGGGGCTCCCTCACCCCCTTTCACAGGGCTACCACATCATCCTGAGATTAAGTCTTTTATTCCTTAGGTCTCATGGTTCTTACCCCAGGGACAAGTCTGTCCTGTGCTCCTGTACTCAGAGTGGACAGGTCTCATTACCCACCTGGAAAGAAAAAAAACAAAAAAAGTAAAAAACAAAAAGAACAACAGCTGTCCCCCTTCTGCTTTTGGCAGCAGGTGTTTCCTCTCTGGCTTCTTTTTTGGCACCTTGGTTCTTGTTCTCACATCCCTGCACCCTGTGGCCCCTCTGTTGCCCCAACTCCTCCCTCCCGGAAGCTAGAGTTTAGCAGGTTGATGAGCGCTGTCCCCAGACCTTGGCCTTGGATGTGGTGGACGCACCATCTGGCTGCCCCGCCTACCTCAGGCAGGGCTCTCCCCGTCAACTCTGTGAGGCTCCGGCTCGGGCTGGGGAGGGCAGGACTCCCGAAGTCTCGACCGGACCGGGTTGAGGGGTCGGGACTGAGAGCAGGCAAGGGCCCAGTGTAACAGCTGTCAACACAGCGCCTCGTGAAGTTCAGGACCCCGCAAAACTTGCGATGTCCGGACGGCGGGTACCCGCCGCGTCGGGCGG